CGACCTATTAAACAAGTTCTCGATGCTGCAACGCAAACCGAGGAAACAAGTGAAAATTTCGATCCCAGTCATCAATGGACGGGTGAACCGGTCAGTAAAAAGATCGGAAACACATTTCAAAATGGTGAAGAACATTTACTTGAGAACCTTCATGAATCCACGTTCATTCCCAATCGGGCAATGTATAGTCAGGAAACACTGCAGTTATCTTCACAACAAGAAGTTTACTATAATCAAGTCCAATCGGAATTGGCAGTTACTCCGGAAGTGCCCCAATGCTACTACACTGATAATGCAACTGCTGTGACCACCGATTCTGATGCAGGCAAGTGTGGTGCCATTACTTCTAAAGAAGTTCGTCGAGTTATTTCTGAATGGGTTGAAAAATATGAGCAATGGTTTTTCCAAAATTTCGGCGTTGATGTGAAAATTGCAACTGCATCTAGCCAGGGTTCGTCGTCTGGCCTACCGTCGTCAGATATGTTCAGTTCCATCCTACAACAACAACAGCCAAATCCAACGGTTACTTCGGGTAGCCAGTCAGAAAGTGTGGTTTCTGGGGCTCCCATCAGCTACGTAGTCTCGGAAGGTGCAATGTGCATGCCAGAGAATCACATGTTTTCTCCGTATGTTTCGTTGTTGCCGTCCTTCTACACCCCTGCTGCTTTCAATCATAATGTAGCGTTGCAACACGAGCAAACAGTCAATCCCGTGCCCATTTGCAACCCTGCTTTGGTGTTTCCCCAGAACCAAGGAGCACTCATAGGACCGACACAACAACTTTTTATTCAGGCGCAGCAGTCAGTGCCTACGCAATGGCTCAGTCATGTCACCACACCACAACCGACCGGTTCCTCGGTTTTGTCTTCATCCGTCTCGCCGGGGACCGTGGACACCAGTCAGTTAACGGCTGGTCCGGTTACGTCATTCAGTGATCTACCGACGGAACTCCAAACCTCCGCAATGCTTGCTGCCCTCTCACTTCCAGTACATACTAATCGCCAACAGTCCATGGGGCAGTGGGGTCCCTTACTGAGGTACGGCACTTACGGTAGACTTCCTTCAGCCAGTGAGATTCAGCAGCTGAAACTTCACGGTCTTAAAAATACGACTACATCCCCTGAATCCAACAAAACCACTGATTCCGTCGAGCCGTCAAGCACATCTGAAGCATTGGTTACGAATAAAATGCCACCACCCCCACCTACTTTCATACTGCTAAGGAGGCAAGTTATGATATGCGCTTTGCAAGTAAGTTCCTTGTTGATCTGTGCATCTTATCATAGGTTTAATAATTGCCATTTGAAGGCCTGTTATCGCCATGTGAAATCTCGCAATGTTCACTTTTGGTTCGTTTTCATTCCCTAGCTTTCGTGCCGGGAGCGTGGTCGTGAGTTGTTTCTTCGAGAAAAAGAAGGCACGAGCGGGATGAAGGTAGACTTCGTAAATGAACTGGAGCAAGTCGTCGAAAAAAGTATTAATTTGAAGCCAATCTTTTTATTCACGGAACTACGTAACCTTCCTAAAAACGAAAGATCCTACTTCCTGGAGGATAAACTGGTTAGTCCTTTCCCACTCAAAAGTGTTTTATATCCAGTTTGTGCCTTCAAAGATGAGGAATATCAGTGCTAACATTTCATATTAAATTGTGCTTTTTACAGTGAACTAAGTGCAGTAATATTCACAGAATCGCATAAAAATGTTGAACAGTTCATCTGAACTAGTTTATCGTCCATCAGGAAACTTGTGTAATTCCTCATGTAGTTATAAAATTCAACGCAACACGGATACCACAAAAGCTGTTTGACTAAATGTTTGTTCAGTTACCGGTTACCCCTCAGCACTGCTAAACAACGACTGAACTCGATCAGTAACTGACGATCTGTCGGTCTTTTTTATAGGAATCTCGCACGGGCCAGAATCCTCATCGGGAATACTTGGATCCTGCTCGAATGTACGCCTGTGATCTATTAATTGGCGATGTATTAATTGCGGAGGCTTGCTCGACTTATAAACAACAAGCTAAAAACTGTGTCGCAAGACAGGTGAGTCAACAAATAATGGTATGCTATGGTATAAAACTCGAGAGAACCTTCGTTTCTATTACTGTTGAAAGTGGCTTCCAACTGTTATTCAGTTTGGTCGAGGGTGGATGTCTAGAGTTGTGGCTGGTTACCCTTCTATTGCACCTCGTGAAATGCTCCCATACGACCAAGCTTCCCAAATAGCCTCTGCTGAGGAAGCTTTACTCACTGCCTTCTTGTGGCGGTGTTTTCGCACCAAATTGAGAGGACGAAAAGCCGACAGCTGGGACTATAATCGGGTTGATGGACCGCTGACAGTTCACCTATGGGAATTGGCCAACAACCCTGATTCCAAAGCAACCAAGAGGGCGTGTACTAACCACACCTTACCGGTTGTGGCAATGGTCACTGGCTCAGTTGGGCACCGGCTCCCAGTGGATTGCATTTTTCAACGCCCCGCTGCATTGCGGGTCAGGTTTTGGCTAGCCAAAGGCTCCAGTTATGGATTTCTCAAGAAAATTCAACTACCTTAGCCTGGACAATCCGGCAGTATTCCATCCACATGCAAATCATGGAATGCCTTTCTTTTTCATAGAGGTTATTGTACCATGATTTGTTTGGAACAGTCTGACAGCAGGCGCGCGGTATATATATATATATATATAATCATTATCACTTTGTATTTGTGGTTTACCATATCGGCCCACTGGTGTGTTGAAATCTCAAATACAAGCACTATTTTAAGTCGGAAGAGCAAGACAGACCAAGAAGCTGGGCTTTGAAAGCGTGTAGACAGTGTTATCGTTGCCATGTCCCCTGCTGTCAAGATTTAATCGAGGTTTTTAATGGACTAACAAACGTATATAGTTGTACTTCTCTGTTTCGTAGGCTACGGGATGTTCTTTTGTTTACCGTTCTAGTAGTTTTGTGATTTCTGTTAGTAGCAATTGGTTCTACGGCGACTCTATCGTGTTCGTCTGTTCAGTCCATTGATTGAGCATAAGCTTTATGCCATCTGTTTTGTCAAGAGCTACGTTTGCTTTTGATCTTATGCCACTATACTTAGTCTGCCCATGTCTATCTAGTTTAGGCTCCATATAATCCACAGTTTGCAGGTGACAAAGATTCCAATTGATCTTCATGAACTTATCATTATCCACTTAAATTCAAATTCTGTGTAATCTTCCGAAATAATAACCTACCAGTTTCACTCTTGCCCTTTAGGCTTTTAGACTACTCTCTCAGCCGTGCTTTCTAGTTGGTTCTGTTCGACGGTGGGAGCTTGTCGATTATCTCGTTCTGTGTTTGAGTCCCGCTGCCGATCTGGTCCCGAAACTCCCACCTTTTCTAAGTGATCCTTTTGAATCTCTGTCAAAAAAAGATAGAACAATTGATCCGAAAAAACCAAATGAACCGTTTGATGTTGTGAATCCCAAACTTCCCGAGGATTTCTGGCTTTATTTAGCGGATCTACCGATTACAGCACTTGAGGATGAGGTAAGCATAAAAGCCATCGATAGTTTCACTTTGAGCTGGTTTTACTGTCAACAGACGTTTTGTTGTTCATTGTTTGATTACATGGGCTTTTGCAATCTCTCTTGAGCCTCGAAATATATTCATTGCATGCTTATCGATTCCATTGTCCACGAAGAGAGATACTCATGCAGAGAACAATTCAATCATCTTAGCATCACTGTTCTGATATCGCGAAATAATAATCGGTATTTTGGTGGATTTGTGTTATGAACAGCATCACTATCATGCTGAACAGTGGCTTCAGTATGACTACTTAATGGTATTTCTGAGATAAGTTACCGAGCCAATCTACCAATACGGTCAATCTCCGACTGTCGCACCCCTCGGGAATTCTAAAATTTGGGTAAATTCCAGGAACTACGACATAGCAGGGTGAACAGTAGTAGATGCTAATAAGTAGTATAAAAATCGGTTGACAGTTTTGTGACAAAATCAACGGAATCGATGAAAAGTAGGTTAATCCCGTTAGTTGTTCCCAATGTTTCTAATTATAAACTGTTAATTTATAACGGAATTTAGATCTACCGTCCTGCGTATCCTTTATTTATCGAAGAAATGTGAATCTTTTATGACACCCTCAGTCTAATATCGGTATTCAGCCGTTTTTCAATTCTGTCTAGTTAACTCGAAACTACCTACCTTTCTTCAGGGAAACTTTTTCTGACTCAATTATCCTATATTGTTTCCAGATATCCCTCCATTCCGTTGCAATGTTAGGCTAACCACAGAATTGATTATATGACGTCCACCATAATATACAACTGTTTTAGCTATAATGAATACATCAGTGTTAACCCACTCAAGGAAAACAAAGGTGAACCAGTTTCAATACAGTGAGGAGGAAATAACATCTGAAATGAGCGAAATATCTGCTACGGGGTATACTCAGAACATTGACTTCTTTCCCATATTCAAACTGATTATTCACTGTGCAATCTATTCATGAGTTTCTAGTGAAAAATGTGTACCATTAGCTTCTGTAAACGTCTATTCGTTCGTTCGCTTTCGTTGTTACCAGTGTAAGTTCAAACCGATTGATGCATTCATCACGACCGTTGTTGGTCGTGCTAAGTTCAACACGCGATGCCATAACTTGATTCATAAACCATACCTTTTTCAATTTAAGGTGTCATGTTTCTAAATGGATAGTACGAGAGTCGGATTACTCCATCGTTTCACATTGTCTTGTACTTTTTTGATGATCTTGTTGTCGTGTGCAGTCCATATGTGTGGTGAGGGCACGCCTGTTGTACAGTCGAAGTTCACTGGGTTCACTAAAGACTCGGTTGTAGACAATGTGTGGTTTCTCGCTCGGGTTAGGTGGGCAAGCGCCAGGTCTCTTGTTATGCCAACCTATCCGATCGATCGATAAACGAACCCAATCGACTGTGTGGTTTTCGGGCTGGCATTGGAGGAGGATAAGTTCTGAATCGCATGCTGCTTAAGTGCAGAGAATCATCACACGAAAATCAGATGTGGAACGATGCGTCATGTGGGAGATTCGTAATGAAAAAGTTCAGGCTATGATGACACTGGGCCGACGTTTGACTCGTCTGAGATTATTATTATTATTTAAGCTGGTTCTCTTGCAAATTTTCCCGCAGGTATGAGACGGGAGTTTACTTCGAAGAAATTCATTCCTGTTCAGCCAACCAAAGGCCGTAGACTCCAGCCTACAGAAACTACAGCAATTTTCAATCAATTAACGAGTCATAAACTGCAAGTGCATCTCACAAACTGTCCTTAGACCTAGGTTACGATAACCTTTGGCAAGTGACCTGTCTAGTTTTATCAGTACTCTAGGACCAGATGCATGGTCATGAGAATGTCTACCTCGGCTTTCATGATTAGTTACTCATCTTCGATCACAGACAAAATATATTGCAGTAAATGTTTCCGAAACGATCATTTGAAAGACCAAATCACACTGATCCATTAGTTGTAACACTGAAGAGACGTTCGGAGGCAGCCGTACCAATTTGGCTTGGTTATGACAAGGGGCATTGTCCATTAATAGTAAAATAAAGCGCCTTTGAGAAACCATTCTGCGGTTGACATCGGACGGCCAATTGTGATATAACGCAGGAGTCATCCATGCGTTCTTTGGAGAATTATAACTGCATGAAAGGCTTTATTTGTCCATACCTTGGAAGCATCATGGGGTTAGAAACTTCGGTCACCAACAGTGATAATTTTTCTCCAGTCATACTCACAAAAAGCTGTAACGTAACCCTGTCCTTGGATTTCTTGGGTCCAGAAACTGTCTTTCCTTTGAGACTTGATGTTCTTTTTAGGAGCTGCCTGTAATACAAAGCTATTTCATCTACATTGAAAAAATCACAGTCAGCATATCCATGTATCAACTACGGCAAC